CACTGAGAAGAAATGCTCCCAGCACCAGCCACTCTCCTGATTATTAAATCTCACTGAACAATCCTGATGACGCAGAATTACTAGCATCTCCACTTTCCCAAGGAGGAAACCGAAGTGAAGTGAAGTCACATACCCAAGGGCACAGAGCCAGATATGCCAGAGCTGAGGTTCAAACCCCGGGCCCTGCCTGCTGCCTGGGCCACCTCGCCGACTCCTCTGGGGTGGCCACTACACAAAGGAAAAGGGACAAGGCCAAGCAGAGGACAGATGTCCTGGAACACCTGCAAGGAGGCAGGAGGGCCGCAGGCTTTCGGGAGTACACCCACACAGGGAACCCCTCGTGTCTCCCATCTTACGGGATCAGTCCACGTGGCGGTCAGAGGCCAGCCCCGGCCTGAAAAGGGAGCCGGGACGCGGAGCGGGCAGCCCGGCCAGCAGGCTCGAGGAGGTGGTCAGCCTGGGCTCAGGAAACAGCCGGAGCTCTGGCATCTCTTCAGCGTCCTATGCAAACTTCCCCAGTCCAGCAGGCGGCCTCTCCTGCCTCGGTTTCCCCGCTGCTCCCCGCACCCTGCCCCTGCCAGCCTCCATCTGCCTCTGGGCCTTGCTCACATTGTTCCCTCTGCCCGAAGGGCTTATCCGTGGTCTACTGTTTCAGGCCTGTGGGCAGATGCTCCCCCCTCCAGCTGGCCCTCCCTGACCACCAGCCCCTGCCACCTTTTCTCCCTCACAGTTCGTAACTGCTGAGGTTCTACCTCTGGTCCCCCTGCGGCCACCACCCCGCACTCACCACGAGCTGGGCGCTCCTCTGCAGCTCCAGGGCCTGGGCCGCCTGCTGCTGCAAATACAGGAGCTCCTGCTGCCGGAGGAAGCGCTGCTGGGAGAAGAGCTGCAGCTGCTGGGCGTGGTGCAGGGGACCGCGGCCCGGCGGGTACAGGGCGGCCCAGAGCGGTGGCGCCGTGGCCCGCTCCATCAGCTCCGCTAGGGGCAGGACGCACAGTGAGGCTGCACCCGCCGCCCAGCGCCCCCGTCGGCCCACTGCAGAGGCGGGGCAGGGCTGGCCCGGGCCTCCCTCTGCACCCACCTCCCGGGCCCAGGGGACAAGGGCCCCCGTGCACACCCCAGGTGGGATGTCCCAGGACCCTTACAGCGGGAGCATGCTGACACGGGGACTCCAAGCCCTTCCTTCCCCCACACCCAGTGGGCTGCCAAGTGGACTCCCAAGGGATGGGAGGCGCCAGGGTGGGGGGTCCGGGCCCCAGGAAAGCCTGCACTGGTTCTGGGTAGGAGCTCATCAAAACAAGGATTCCGATGGCTTTATGACACGGGGAAACCACGGACATCAGAACATCCTCGAAGCCCCGGTCTGCCTCCTACCCCACTATCCTGGCCGGACACCCCCCCCACCGAAGAAGGCCCCTGGCATGTGGGTCAGTCTCTCCAGGTGAGGCTACCACGGCCACTGCCCCCCACCCAAAGGCCACCACTTACCAAAGTGAGGCAGGTGATCGCTGGGAATGACCACCAGCTGCCCCGACTGGGGGTCCCTCACGAACTGGTAGGCCGACGGCAGGGAGCCCCCCAGGCCAGGCGGGAAGGCAGGTGCCATGCCCTGGTGCAGAGGTGGTGGGCCCAAGCCTAGGAGAGACCCAGGCCTGCGTCAAATGCCAGAGGCCAGGGGCCCAGGCCCACCCCCTTTCTGTCCGCTCCCCAGACCCCCACCTCCTGAGGCCTCCATGCAGGAAGCTGAGGGCTGACAAGCTGCAAGCATGTCCACAGCCACCCACCCCTGGGCACCACCTCCAAATGGGCTCAGCAGAGGGACCCCCGCAAGGAGGGTGTCGTAGTAACCGCCCTCTTCAGACACACAAGGGAGCTGAAGTGTGGGAAGAGGAAGCGAGGAAGACAAAGGAAGACAGCAGCCAGCTCTGGGCGTGGGTCCCACAGTCCTGCCCCGGCACCGGCCACCAGCCCCGAGCTCCAGGCAAGAAACACGTCAGGCCCACTCTTATCCTCAACCACCAGATAAGGGCGAAGTCGCCCACCCCACACTTACCATAGGGGTGTCCAGCGAGCCACATGGATGTGCTGCCCGAGCGGGGCAGCCAGGGGTGAGTGGCCAGATGGGCTGCGGGGTCGGCAGACCAGCGCCCGGAGCCTGCCAGTGATGGGCCACCAGTCACCATGAGGTTGGGGTTCAGGCCGTTAGCAGCGCAGCTGGTGGGGTGCAAGCGGGCCAGGTCAGCCAGCTCCTTACTTTCTCTGGAAGGGAAAAAGGCATTGGCAACAGCCCCGTGGGCCCGGGGAATGTGGGAGAGGAGGGGTGTCACCCCGAATACCCAGCAGACACCCAGCATAAAGAGGAACCAGCTCTGGCTCAGAAAAGAAGGGCCCCAAGGGCCTCCTGCAGGAGGGGGGACCCACACTCGCTGGAGAGGGGCTGTGAGGCCATCTGGCCTAGGATCAGGGTCATGGGAAAAGGGTGGCTCCCGCTCTTGGGACAAGAGGCCGCGCGCCCACGTAGGGTCATCCCGCCCCAGCCCCAGGTGGCCCCCAAGCCCTCACCTGAGCAGCTTCTCCTGGTCTCGGTCCAGCCGCGCCCCCAACAGCCGCTCCTCCCGGTGCCTGGTCCTCTCGTCCCCACAGTCACCATCGGCTCGGCTGTGCCCTGAGGGGAGCGGGCAGGCGATGAGCCCCCAGCCCGGGGCCCCAGCAAGCCCCCCGCCTGGCCAGACGTCCTCGGCACCAGGCCCCCCCACAGCCCGCAGAGGGCCTATCTGTAACTCGCACGGGGAGCCCCCACCAGCGCAGCAAGCCAAACGCTGGGGGCGGGGTGGGTAGGACGGAGGGGAAGCCCCCAGCCAAAAGAGCGGCACAGCCAGACCCAGGTCCCAGGGAATCAGCCGCCACCCTTAAGCGCCACTGAGGTCCCATCACGGTTCTGGCTGCTGCAGACATACGGCTCATCTCTCTAAAATCGAGACGGGAAAATAAAACCAGAGAAAACACGATCCACGTGGGGATGAGTGCAAAATGTGGGAGCTGCCACTGGGGCTCCCCCGTCCCTGCCCTGGTGCCCAGCATGCACCACCCACCCAGGCTGGGACCGCTGTACCGCCCATGAGCTGCCTGGCCCCCCGAGACCCCTCAGAGCACAGGAGGCGGGTCCCCGAGCCCAGCCTGGCACTCAGCCATTGAACTAAAGGGGGGTGGGGGGGGCAGGAGCCCGTGGAGGGCACCCACCCTCTGCTCTGTCTCCCCTCGCCCTGCCACCTTCCTCCAGCTCCTGCCCCAGCCCCTCTTACTCAGTGAGCCAGAACTCGGGACACGTGTGGCAGCCCAGCGGCCAGGCTGGGGCACGGGAGGCGGAAGCACCTGAGGCTCTTCTCAAAAGAGAAACGCACTGGGGCTGGGGCTCTCTCACCCGCATCTTGGGAGACCCAGCAGCGCTGGGAGGTGTGCTCGGGAAGGAAGCCACTCCCAGCCCCCCCGCCCCGGCATTCAGGTGTGACCACTGTGCAGGAGACAAGGGGTCCAGCAGCGGCGCCCCCACTCGTGGCCCTCGTGTGCAAGGACCCCACTTGGAATGCTGCCATCGGGCATCTCCCCTTTTCTCCCCTCTGCACCCCCAAAACCAGGAGCTAGCAAAGAACAGAGCCCCCAGGAGAGGCTCAGGGGTCTAAGGGCTTCTCCCTGTCCTTTCAGGAAGGCGGAAGCCTGCCAGCCCCAAGACGAAGGGCAGGAGCCCCGAGAGAGGGCACGGCGGCGACCCAAACCCACGTGCCCATAGACCAAGTCCACAGGGGGACAGCCAGCAGCCTAGCACTGGGGAGAGAGCACGTCCCAGAGGCGGCTGGAGACACTGGGACAGCGAGAGCACCGGGAGGACGGCCCGGAAGTTCCAGAGGTGGGCCAGGACGAGGGGAAGCGCAGGGAGCATTCAGTGGAGCAATGTCAACAACGGGGGCATCCGGCGGCCAGGCAGGAGTGAGGGCGGGCAAGAGAGCGCATGGCTTCACAGCCTGCCCCTGTGGGACACCGAGGTACATCCCTGGCCGCCCACTAAATCATTCATGCAGGCCGCGCCCGGCAAAGGCACTGAGCAGACATCGTGTACGCCAGCTCAGTCTCTGCGAGCCCTCCCTGCCCGTGGCAGGCAGGGGAGAGGCCCTCAGTGGGAGAGCAATGCCACAGCCAGGTTGGGGTGAGACCCAGCCAACCTGCCCCTGGCCTCCGGTGTCAATGTGGTTCCTATATCCAAAGGGACCCTGAGCCCCCCTGGCCACTTCACGAAGGACTGGAAGGGGCCCTGTTCAGGGATCCCCCAGGGTAGTGAGGCCCAGAAGGGCAGCCCGGGCTTCAGGCAGGGCCAAAGTGTGGAGGGCCACCCGGAGTCCTGTGGCTGGGCTGGGAAATCAGCGTTGTGTGCCCCAGCTTCCTTCTCCCAAAGGAGATGGCCTCACACTCCCCGGGCCACCCTGGACTCAGGGACAGGGTTTGGCACTAATTCCTGGAGTCCCCGAAAGGGACAAGTGCCCACAGAGTAGCCTGGCTCCAAGTCCACTGTCCTCTGGCCCGATGCCTCTCCATTGCCATGGCTGTCACCAACCGCTCAGGGTATCAGTGGCTTCCCATCCCAGGCCCCATCTCCCACCACAAACCTGGCTGTAGGCCCACCCATCCTGGAGCACCCAGCAGCCCCAAGGTCACTCAAGTCAAGAGCCCCAGACAGCTCCCTCCAAATTTGGCTGGTCTATGAAGAACTGTGACATGCCCCCACTACCTCACCCCAGGCTTGGCTGGACTACAGCTCTACCCTAGACTACTCAGCCTCTCCCGACAGCTTAGCTTAAATGCGCCCTTCTCCAGGAAGCCCTCCCTGACCACCTCTCCTCCATCAAGCTCCCTTATTTGTCTCCCTCCCAGCACTAACCACAACGTGCTACTATCCTGCTTGCTGCTTGTTCACCATCTGCCTCCTCCATGAGCCTATGTACCGCTCTGGTTCAAGAAGTCCCACTCCTGGCTGTGTACCTCTTCCCTACATAACACTCGGCACAAGGGAAGCTGCTCGATAAATATGCAGGAGAATGAAAGAAGGAAAAAAAGAAGGAGTCCTGTGGATATCTACAGGAAGAATGAGCTATGCAGCAGGAATAGCAAGTACAAAGGCCCTGGGGCAGAAGTGTGCCACATCAAGGAAACTGTGGTGGCTAGAGAGAATACTAAGAGAGGTGCTAGGGATGAAACCACAAAAGAGGTGGGTACAGACTGTAGGGTCTTGGAGACTATGGAAGGGAACGTGGTTTAGATTTTGTTCGAGGTGGGAGGAGAAGCCAGAGGAAGAGTGAACCAAAGGGCCCATCACTCCTCCATGCTGAGTTCCAGGCTGGTGGGAGATCAGCTCCTCCATGAGCCAGGCATGTGGGGCCGGTCCCAGAGCCACAAGACCTCACCCCAGCCCTTCTGTGCCCGGCAGGACCCTAGATCTTCTCCATGCACTCACTCGGGGGTCATCACCCAGGAGGTGGGTCCCAGCCCTCCTCCCACTCTAGATGAGAAAACTGAGGCACAGGAAGGCAAAGCACACTGCCCAGGTCCCACCACTGCCTGACAAGCAGGCTTTCCTGGCTGGGATGGGCGCCTGAGCGTGTCTGCAGGCTGAGCCTCCTGCACCTCGCACACAGCGGGCACGGGACTGGCGCTCAGGAAATGGGGGCACAGCTGTCGTCACCCATCTGCAGCCCTGCCCCCGGGGCCCGGAGCCACGCGGCCACAGCCTCTCCGATCCAGGCCGAGGCCGGGACTGAGGCCTGGTTCCCACGGCCTCCATGAACATTCGGGCACACGTGGCTGCCACCAGCTCAGGCCGACTGAGCACGCTCTAGGAGCGGGGGCCGTCGCTGCTGCTTACACCTGCCCGACCCCAGCGCTGCCTGGGGCGACGCGGGCGTACCCCCACCGCCCCCCGCTGCCTCCACCACAGGGTGACGCCAACAGGCAAGAGGAAGAGGTAGGAGCCACAGGCCTGGGCTGAGTGTTCAAGCTCAGCCTGCTTCTTCCAGCCCAGGGACCCTGGGCCAGTCACTTCACCCCTGCAGAGCCCACTCTCGACACGGGGGAAGCTGCGAGAGCCACAGATCCTCCTGCGAGGGGCTGCTGGGGGCCTGGGCGGGCTCCCCCGAACGACCGGCTTCGCCCGCGGCCGCCCGCTGAAGGAGAGCAGCTGTGCCGGGCTTCCGGGCACGCACCACCGGTCACTGGGGCTCACGGCTGTAGGTCATGCCTGTCCTTGGTCCAGTTCTGGGCCCATGTGGGCCCCCGGGGGCATTTCTCCGCAAGGATCTAGGACTCACGGACACTGTCAGCAGCTCTCAGACCCCAACACGCTGAACGCGAGCAAAGACAGGGCCGGCCTGTTTATGAAGCCCCTACTATGTGCCCAGCAGCCGCATGGTCAGCGTGGACACCGGGGCCCGGAAGGTTCAGGCCTCCCGCTTAAGGTCACGTAGCTGATGAGGCAAAGACCGGATCTGAATCCACTGACCAGCAGAAGGCTCTCCCCAAAAGTTCAAGGAGACAGGGAAGATGGGAAGAGACCAGGAGATGCAGGCTGACGACCAGCGCCTCGGCCAGGGGGTGCCCCCAACTCCTGCCCTCCCCCAAGGGTGCCAGGATTGGGAAAAACCACTACTTCTTATGGGAACTGGGCTAAGGAAAAGAACCCAGCTGCCTACTTCTCAATGGCTGGCAGTGACAAACCAATGCCTGAATGTCTCATCCCTAACCCGTCAGGTCCTCCCTCCCCCCCCACACTGCCACACACACACACACACCGTCACACACTGTCACTCTGAGCCACTCAGTCACACGCTGTCACAGTCACACACCGTCACTTCCGTACATACTATCGGACACACTGTCACCCTGTCACCATCACACAGGGTCTCTCTCACACACATTCTCTCACACACAGTCACACAGTCAGGGTCAGTCACACATACTGCCACATAGAACGTCACACAGTCGCTCACACTCCTACAGTCACACACGGTCGCACTGTCACTGCCAGTCACACGCACTAT